AAATTAAAAGAAAAATGGTCCTGGGTGATCAGGCAATAATATTTCACTATTTATGATTTTATTACTATATTCCTGAACGTTAGGGGGCGTCCATTAATCACGAGAGGTTTTTAGAGGGAGGGGGGGTTTGACAAAAAATCACGAAATATCACGTGGGAGAGGGAAGGTATAGTAAGATATCACGTTTTTATTTATTTTTTAACTATTTTTTTAAAAAAAGTTCAAACATTTAAAAAAAATTAAAAAAATACAGTTTTTTCACGTAAATAAAAATATACGTGATGTTCGGTGGGGGAGGGGGGTAATTTTGAATATCACCAAATATCACCAAGGGGGGTGGGGGGGCCAAAAATCCTTAAAAACTCGCTCGTGTGATTAATGGATGCCCCCTTATGAAGAATTTCATACACATTTCTCAATTATTGCTCTCTCTTACTCGACAGAAAATTCTACAAATATTTTTATAGAGAATGTTTAAAATGGAATCCAAATATTTTTTAGATTTTTGTCATATCTTAAAACTATTATTTTTTTGTAAAATTCTTATCGTATTTTGTATTTTATAAATTCTTATCATAGCTTCATTGCTTGTTACGAATTCTAGTGTAAATGACATCATCCCTAAAATTATATCTGACTAAACATTATGCTCGTAGTAACTGCTTCAATTTGATAACCTTTAAACATGCGATTTTTATTCGATTTGAAAGACAAAAATCTTATGAAATTTATATTAAATTGTAATTGATTTAAATACTTAGTTTTTCTGAACAATTTTATGAATCTTACTTACTACATATGATAGAAATAATTATTAAAATCTAAAACATAACTAATTAATTAATATTTAACAATTTATCAAGGCAATTGGAATTAAACTTAAAATATTTTATATTGCATTATTAAATTGCTTTTACACGCATGGTTTTTAATTTATTTAAAAGGAATAATTTCATGATATTTATAATGAAATCAAAATTACATGTATATCAATATTGTTATTTTGTGTGAGCTGTATTGGAACCCTATTTAACATATGAAAGAAAAAATAATAATTAAAATCAAAGGCACAATTGTTAAAATAATATTTTGACTTAAAAATAGTTGCTCAATGTATTATTTGAGTAAATTGGCATTTTCACGGTAGTTTTATGCAGTATATAAATATTAACACCCATGATGTCTGATAATTATTTTTATGTCACTTTTTTGTTACAATTCGATAACCTAGCAATTTGTTAACAGCATCCAAAAGTGGATCAATATACAGATAATATTCAACATCAAGGAATAAACGCCGAGTTTTAAGTGGGACGATTATTATGCAATATAGATAAGTGCAGTTAGAGATATTATTTTATTTAAATATTTTTCGACCTTGGATTTTGATTAGTATCATAGTGTGTCATCGCTATTGAAAACGAAAATTTTAAATTTGCAAACGTAATTAGTGGCTTTTAACATTTGGAAATTTTTTGACAGCACATTTGACATTTTTGTTAATTTTTGTGTAAATATTTGATTGCTATACAATAACTTGAAGATAATTGACTACAATTACGGATACATAAATAGAAATATGAATATTTACATAATGGTTTAGGATTAAACGTTTGCAAGGGTAATGCAAGAAAATGATGACATTATAATTTTTATAAGCAAAATATTAAATTGTGCAAAAATATTAGTTTCACAAAGATTAATAAATTGCGTTGGCTAGTTCACATTGTCAAGATTTAAACATCTTCCATTCATAACAGAATCAATCATAAAATCATTACCTATTATCATCATGTATGATAAATTATGATTCTAAATGCAAGTGGGCCGAACTTAATAAGAAACATTTGTATTCCTGGTTATGTTTTCCATTAAGGACTCGTTTGGATAAGAAATGACAGGATGATGAACGAGAATGAATGAATCATTCGTAGAAAAATCTAGTGAAGATCATTACTTTTAGCAGTGTTGCTCAATTATTGTTAAAATCCAATTTAAAAAGAATTAAGATTTTTTCCCCGTTGGGCTATAATTTTTGGTTGCGCAGATTAGCGTGAAGCTGTAAAAATCCATTCCAGTTTTTCTCGTCGTCTGTTTGCGATCGTTAAATTTTATATCAGGCAATAATTCCGGTTTTGTAAAAATGGAATTCCTGGAACAATATCACAAGATATCTCTTATATAACAACATTTATAATATCCACACCCACAATGTGTTTTATATATGGTTATTATCATTGCGAGTACATCGCGATTCTTTTGTATCTTGACGCAAGTTGGTTGTGTAGCACAATGTCACTTTAAAATTTATGATAATCGAATCGCGTAAATGGGTCGAAGAACTTTTAATTTTGTACACGTTGGAACCTTGAAAAAATAAGAACAATGCAATTTGCTGTAGCATTTTGGGTTTTAAATTCAATTTCATACTTATCATTGAATTTAGCATTAATTATTCAAAATTATATTCAGCTCATAAATTTGCAAATCGATCAGTTTGGAGGCAGGCACTTCATAAAAAAACATTTTACTTAAGAATGCATTCTTGGTTACAGGCATGAATTTTATGTGATTTTAGAAGGCTATAAAAAAGCAAACAATAATTTTACTATATTTTTTACAGTATTAATAAATGTTTTGAGATTATGTAAGGAAAATAAGAATTAAGAATAGTTATAAAGTTTTTAGAAGATGATGAAGTGGAGAGCCTAAAAAAATTGACACTTGACCATACCTTTGATTTAAGCCCTCTAAATGATCTGAAGAGAGAAAAAAATATATTATTAATCTAGAATAATATCGCCATTGTATGAACTATATGCGGACAAGTTAAATTGATTTTAAGTACATTTTTTGATATTCTCGATTTTTTTTAAAAAATAGTAAAAATCAAAATTTGGGGATGACCGTAATTCATGTTGAAGAAAAGTCTATAAAAAAGACCCTGTAAAAATTTTAAGGGAATCGGTTCAGTAGAAGTTGGGAAATTTAATAAATAAATAAATAAATAAATATCTTCAAATCTGCATATCTTCAAAGAGATATGCAGACTAAGATTTAACCATACATACACTCCGTTTCACCTGAGTAGAATTGGGATCAATATCGATCCTAATTGCTATTGCTTAGGTGGAGCGACTAGGGCGGATGCTAGCACGCCATTACGGGTTGCAAACAATGAGAAAAGCCTAGGCAAGAACTATAGGAGAGAGATAGTAAGGCAAAAGCCAATTTTATAACATTATTGACAATGTACGTGTATACAACAAATAAATAATAAAAAAGAGATGTATTTTTGTATATGAATATGAAAATATATTTATATTGATGTCTAAAATCTTAGAAGTGCTCACTTTGCAATTTTATTTATCCATAATTGTTGTTTTTACTTATCATGATCTTCGGAAGTACTTTAGAATTCTAAAAACAAAAGAACAAAATTCCATTATACCCCTGCATACTATAATTTTTCCTGGAGTACATGTCAGTTATCTCATCCGAAAGTTTTTCCCGAAGTTTCCATTTTCTGGTACGTTATGGTACAAGTCTTGAGCAAAGTACACGCGCTTCCTGTTGACCTAGATGTCTCCGCCTGCATCAAGAAACTGCACAAAGATTGTTCACCCTCTTGGCAAAGGATGAAGACGATAGAAATGATGACAAATGGGTACTAAAACTATCTAAATATCGCGTGTTCGACATGAATAATACGATACATGTCGTAAATGAGAGCATAAAGTAAATAATTTGTAAAGGAAAAAAAACGCAAAGACCTGAATGCGTGGTTTTGTCAAATCGGGATTTTTATTAAGCGTATCCAAAAAAAGATTAAGTAGCTTCGATTAGGACGTTGACATGTGGTATATCTAGATTTGGTTGGGATATAATTTACATGCAAATCTGGAGTTATCGATAACTCCAGACCAAAGTAAGCAAATATAAAATGGGCAATAAAATTTGGGTGACGTATTGGCGATAAACTAGTTTAGCCTTATAGATCAAATAAAGATGTAACTTTATCGACAGCATTTACATCATCCTAAAATATACCAAACAATATTATTCGTAAATAAAATTACTGATGCAAGTAACTAGTAACCCTATCCACTCGCGAATTGCGAGATTTATATGCATTTTGCCGCTGGAGCGGCGGCATCCGAGTGGAAAGGATAATATAATTAGTTTATGACCGTTTGCGACTTGTAAATTTATGATTATAATATCATTTTGAATAATTAATTGTCGCTGCCAAAATTTCTGAATATACTAAACTAGATGTTAGTTACATTTTGCCCTAAGGCAAATTGCATGCATTACCCTATTGTCATCAATCAATAAGAATTGAGATTAACAACTTTTTAAATTTTGATAGAATTTTGAAATATTGACTCTTATTCCAAACCTTTATGAATTTTCATAATTATCCACTTTCGTCCAATATTTTATTTCTATTTTTTCTCTAGCAGTATTGCATAATAATTTGCGGTTTTAATTTAAAACAAATCTAAAAGTTTGACTGTATGACTATTTTTGGAATCTTGTTCATTATTTGCTTCAAACTTCCGCAGTTTGAATATTTGTAATTTAATTAGCAAGTCGTTCCTAAAGCAAAAGTAAGCATGGAAGTATTGTATTATTATTATATGTAAAGAATTTTGTTTAATACATATTTCTTATTGTACTTTTCTGTTTACATACATTATTATTTTAATTCGTAAATTCTTTTAATAGTGCATATATGAATCATTATAGTATTAAATTGTTGTTATGTGAAATTTTGCATTTATTCGCCAAACAAATTGAAAACGTTTTGCAGTTTACCCATATTTTAAATTCATCCATGTTTTTATGTGAATTTTATTCTGTGAAATTTAAGGTAGTTTTTTTATACTGCCAATTATCTCACATTATTCGTTTAAACTTATCATTAAACTTTACAAATTATTCTTGTCTTTTAGTTAAGTATACAAGTTTTTATAAATGTTTATTTTCTGTTACAGATGAGCAAGAGCGCGTGCAGAAGAAGACCTTCGTGAATTGGATTAATTCGTATCTGTCCAAGGTAAACAAGTTCTTATTCCAAAAATATTTCTCTCATTCAATTTGCACATTGGAGAATTTTTTTTGTCGATTTTTTCTGTCTTTGGCCCGTGCATATTTTTTTCAGAACGTCGCGTCTGATGGCATTACGTGACTTTCGATTTTTATCCAACGAACTTATTGGATATTTTCAGTAAAGTAATAATTTAATAATAGTTTTATTTTTATATTTTATAATGATTAATATTAATATATTGAAATTTATGTGTTCAAATACATTCCTACCCTGAAGAAATTAACATGTTGAAAGCTCAAAACTTTTCTACCTCGTAGAATTATCTTTCTTGAATTACATTCTGCTTGCAACTTTGTTGGAATAAGTTAATATGATTTATTTCTTCTTTATATTATTGTGCATTTCTTGTGTTTTATGGACTTTATTATTTATGAATGGTAGAATGGTATCTTATACATTTGCAGATTTTCATTTTAGTACAGAACTAAATAATATATTTCAGGATTAATGTGCAAAGCATGTGCACGCCATAGATAGCCATGTTTAATGTATCAAATATTGTTTTTTTTAACTTATAATAAAAGATGTTAGGCTTAGTAAAACAGAACTTCATTTTTACTCGAGCAATTTTATGGTCAAGAATAAAGTAAAATTATTTTACAAGTTGGATAAAAACAATTTTTTGTGTTATCAAAATTTGGCATTTTTTGGGATCCTTATCTTCATTCTGACTAACTTTTTTTGAATATTATCTAGAAATATTGCATTTTCGTTTAAGCATACATACTTTTAATTGTTGCTAGCTTAGAACAAACGTGAAAAATATATTTTTTGTGATGATTGTTTTTAAGAAAACTTAAGTCACTCAAGTTTTTGGTGGAGTAATTTGCATGAAAATTATTAAGAGAATTTGCATCTTCCTACAAATGCATTATGGCTTACTGTTTTAATTTATTGCTGGTTCTATACAAATGTCGAGGTAAAATACATTTTCTTCAATGATTGATTTACGAAGCAGTTATTTGAAACAAGTTTTTTGACTTCACTTATGTTGCATTGAATGGAATATCATAACAATCTGGCATTATTCATTATTATATTATATTACTATATTATTATATACATATTAGTACGTATGTTTATAACTTTTTTTGATATTTATAGCGAGTTCCACCGCTTCGGGTAGACGATTTGATCAACGATTTAAAAGATGGCACAAAACTTCTTGCTCTTCTTGAAGTGCTTTCCGGAGAAAAACTGGTAAGAGTTGGAAATGAAATTATTTTTTGTATAATTTAATTTGTAATATTCACAGCTATTTGATTTTGTAAGAATAACTGAGTTATATTTGTAATCTGGGACAAGAGAGAAAATTGCAAGCGAAATTAAACTTAACTGATTTGACTTGCTTCATAATAATTTATTTAATAGAATTTTGTAGTATGAGTGTAACAAATATTAATTTTGTAAATTAGAACACAACATTGACTTCTACATTTAAAAATTTAAAAGTGACAAAAATTAAGTTGCTTTTCTATTTTATATTCCTTATATAAAGAAATATAAAAATGGCAAAGATTAAAATGGGAAAAGTAAGGTTATTTACCAGTATGTTTGGAGAAATCGCTCATAGGATTTTAGTTTATTTAAATAAGAGGCTATGATTTTTTGAGGTTATAATTAAGCTTTTTTAAGATTTTAATTTAATTTTTTTCCAGCCCGTGGAGAGGAGCAGGGTTTTGAGGAGACCGCACTTTTTGAGCAATGCCAATACTGCCCTTCAATTTTTGGCCTCACGGCGCATCAAGCTGGTCAACATCAATGCAGCCGATCTGGTGGACGGGAGACCACCAGTTGTGCTCGGGCTGATATGGACAATCATTTTGTATTTCCAGGTAAAATTTATTTGTAACATGTTTTGTAAATATATGACTCAATACTTAAATCTAGAAACTATAATTCGTGATTTCCTATAAATTACTTTAAAATTAGCTAAATTGCGTTGATCAAATTGACAAAAATAATGATTTCACAAGCGCGATTTAATCTTTCTTTGATAGCAAAATTATGCAATGCCTAATAATATATAATCTGATCAATTAAAGGTGTTAGTCATAAACCTCCAGAGGCATTATTACAATCAAGGATAAATAGTATTAAATTAAAATTGATTTATAGCCACTTGAATAATGTTACATTAGATTTACTCCATATCTTAATGCTATATAAGTAATAATTGTCTTTGGCTGACTGTAAAATATATGAAACATGATAAAAAAATCTTCAATACTCACTCTAGACCAAAATTTCTATTTCTTTTATCATTGTGCAAATTTTATATTATTCTGTAAGAAGCTTGTCTTTGATTGTCTTTGGTTTCTCTACATCACACAGTAGATGTATATTTTTATCATTTGGCATATAAATCGATAAAATCAGTGATTTATATTTCATTTATCTTATATGCAAAATGATAGTGTGTTAAAAGCTTAATTATGTACGTAAAATTGCACAGTATTTATCTGTACTATATTTAACTTTTTTCAAACAAGCTTCGCAATAAGGATTTTTCATATTTTGATGAAAAGGTTAGTATTATAGATACTTGTATGTATTAATATTGCAATTTAAAGTCATGTTCAAGAACTGCACTATGCACAGTAATTTTAACAATAGTATTATTTTTTTATTGAATCATTAGACATGGAGAAATTTTGAGAAAAAACTGTATTTTTGGTCTGTAATTGTATAGTGCAGTGTTTGAATTGATTACTTTTGCATGCAACTTTAATTTGTTCAACAATTATTTCTACATTAATCCGTATAGCTGTAAAAAGCTTATTTGTACAAATGTAAATAAATTTTAATTACTTTCTCGAAAGAGGTCTGACATTGTTGCTCAAAATGGGATAAATAATTGGCAGGTTAAATCAATCGGAGATTATTGGGATATAACAGAAGCACACACTGAGAATGTTTTAGAGGAATCGAAAAATACGGTAGTTCTTGTTTATTAAATTCTTCGTTTTGTAAATAAAAGGTCATCAGGTGCAGTGTATGTCGTCTGATAGTCGCTGTGTAAATTGTCTATAGTTGGTGGTAGAATTGGAGACGACGGAGATTTTACTTCAACCGTTTTCATATATTCAAAAATCATTTATAGATCATTTTATGTGCAAATAAGGCTTCATAATGAAACACTTTTGCTTTCGTATTTTTTAAACGTCATGTGCAAATACGATATCGTTATTTTGCAAATCATTTTCATTTTTTCGTTCATTCAGTTATAGATGCAAAGTGATTTTATAATTATGTGTATACATATAATTTTAGCACATTTGGAAAAAGGGATGAATATTCACAAGACAGAATATTTTGTTTGGTTAGGTAGTGTGATTATAATATATGTTAGCATTTTACAATATCATTGAATTCATGAAGAATTTTCTTGTTTGGCGAAAAGAATCTCATCATTACATTCCAAACATCAATAAGTCTTCTAATAATTAATTCTGGAATAACGTTGCTTAAATCATATCGATCAATATATATAATTGTACTGAATATAATTTGTTATTCAAATAAAATTTTACCAAATTAAGTCAATTGTTCTGTCTCATCTTAGTTAGTTTTCGCCATTCACTTGCGTCGAACATCAATCTTTTACCATGTGTTTGTATTTATGTGTTTGTATATATATAGAACTTTCCAAGTGGTTACTTCTACTCGAACTTGATTAATTTGCTGATATATAACTTCGTTGTATTTGCAACAGATCGAGGAGAACACTCGTGCCTTGGAATATCTGGGCCATCATTTCGGAGGCTCGGCTAGTTCTTTGGAGAGCATGGGCACGGCCAGTTCTTCGGATGCGAAAAAAGAAAAATGGAAGCAAGGAGCCAGGAAGACCTTGTTGCAGTGGGTCACTAATGCATTGCCAAAGTAAGATTATAAATAAATAAATTTATAGATACCTTATATAACTTCATCTGGATAAAAGACAAACGTGAAATTACATAATGGTGTTAGTGCAATATATCAGTGTTTAGAAAAGTTGGTGAAATGTAGTGACTATGTTTAAAAATTATTATGATAATAACCGATTACATACGTATTATTTAAAAAAGACACTAATTTGCTCTAGTGGACATTTTCAATCGTGCATTATTTGAAGTTATAAATAGATAGTCTATTCATGAATGTATAGTACTGATCCTAATATTTTTCAAATCTAATTTATTGTTTCAATTTTATAGGGATTCTGGAATCGAAGTACGCGACTTTGGACCAAGTTGGCGTGACGGTGTTGCCTTTTTGGCAATCATCGATGCCATCAAAGCGAATCTTGTCAATTTAGAGCAAATGAGAGCTGCTTCTAATAGACAACGTTTAGAAACTGCTTTTGACGTTGCTGAAAATCAGCTAGGTATTGCGAGATTGCTGGATGCCGAGGATGTGGATGTAGATAAACCAGATGAGAAGTCTATTATGACATATGTTGCACAGTTCCTGCACAAGTATCCTGAACCGAAGGTAGTTTTATGTATTATATTATTTATTTTTCAATATTGCATAAAACATTTTTTTTTAATTTTTGAGTTGCGTTTGCAACTGATCATTGATAAATTTTTCTGAATTTGATTGTTTATTTTTCAGAGTTCCGGTCTGGACGCTACTTCTATAATCCAAAAGGATTATAGAGATTTATCTGAGTGGTTGCTCGAAAAAACCAATCATCTAGGAACAATGATAAAAACAAATACTTTACCTCAAAAATATTCAGAATATGAGGCTTATAAAGCACAAGTAGATGGACGCGAAGCGCTGTACAAGAAATTGAAAGCACTAATCGATTCCCATGGTTTCGCTGCTATAAGCGAATCATCATGGAAGGAAATAGATAGATTATGGAAACTTCTTCAGTACCAACTGCGCCAGTGGCTATGGCAATTAGATTCTCGCATTCCAGGAGGACTTGCCAAAGTCGGTGAATGGCTTGCAAAAGCTGAGCAGTTGATTTATCACGATGATGTTCCCACTATCATGAATGAGGAAACAGCTACCATAATAAGCAGAAAACTAGAAGAACATAAACAATTCTTCGCTGATTTGCCAATTGTGATAGATAAATTTGAAAAAGCAAAACTTTGCGAAGCAGATAATTTACCACCGTCTCAACTCCGTAATATGGAAATGCGACTACGGGATGTTGAACCAAAAGCTGTACAACGACGTATACGATTGAAATTCTTAGAACACAAATGTTGCCTTATTGCCTTTTTGCATTTGACTGAAATGAAACTTAAAGCCTGGACGGTAAAATACGGCAGAGAAGAAAAAGTTCAACAACTGTTGGAACAGTATCGTAATTTTGTATCTAGAAATAAAATCTTTCAAGAATTTTCAAAAGCTTATCAGGATATGCAACAGGTCGTAGAAGAGTACAAGAGAGACGGCATGATTGATAAAAAGGAGTGCGCGGACGTTGATCGTTTTATGCGCGATACGGCGGAAAGATGGAAAGGAGTTTCTATGGAACTGAGATGCGTCCAAAGCATGTTGGAAGAAGTTGTTTCTTACTGGAAACGTTGGACGCAATTAGCCAAGGAATTTGAAGATTGGCTGGACAAAGCTGAAGCACACACGCGTCTTTCTGATGATGAAAGAATGGAATTTTTCCAAGATATAAGTGTCTGGAAAGAGAAATACCAACTTCTGAGTGACACTGTAAGCTTTTTAGTAGCCACATGCGAAGATAACGTTTCTCAGGAACTGCACGATCGATTTGGTAGAATGACTTCAAGGTGGGATCAACTATTCAAAGATGTTCAACAATATATGCATGCTGGAGATATATTACGTAACCGCAAGGATTACAGATTTGGAGTTGAACGATTAAGTGCTTGGCTAAGAAACGCTGAAAATGTTTTAGAGTCCCACCAACTAAGCACCACAGAAAAAATTAAAGCTTATGGGGCACAAATTCAACAAATACAAAATGAAATTGATGAAATTGAAGATCTATTTAAGAATATTAGTAAAGCCTTCCAATCATTAATTCAAGATTTATCAAGGGACGAAGTTGACAAAATGATGAATACTTTGAAAAGAGAAAAGGAAGCTTTAGTAAGAGTACGAGCTTTGATACCAATGAAACTAAATTTATTCCATCAGTTATTAGTTCAGCAAGAATCTTTGGAAGCTGGACAAAAAGAAATTCATCAATGGTTGGATGAAGCAGAAAAGTTGTTGAGTTTCATT